CTCCAGGATCATGACCTGAGCCGAAGGCAGTCGCTTAACCAACTGAGCCACCCAGGCGCCCTCGACTGACTCTTGATTTTGGCTCAGGTCATGATCTCAGGGTCATGAGATCGAGCCCTGCATTTGACTCCATGCTAGGCATGGAGTCTGTCTCTCTTCTTCTCCCTCTGCCTCTTCCCCCACATGCGCATGTACAAGCTCTCGCTCTCTAAAATAAATAAATTAATAAATAAAAAAATAAAATTAAAAAAAGTGTTATTGAGGACACTGTCCACTGTCACTAAAAACTCCTTTCATAAAGCCCCATATGAAAGATTTCTTTTAGAATTGAAGGCCAGACATCTGTTTCTACAACAGTAGGTTAGTATTATCATTGTGTTTTTGAAAAGCATTGAATAGTATAAGGAATGCTCAGGAGTTTTTTAAGTAAAAAAAATCAAAATTCAACCCCATGTTTGCTAAGACTTCAATGCTGTAAGGTGTAGATATGCACAGAAAAGAGGCAAGATGGAAGGTTAATAAGCTTTGTTAGGTTTAACTGGTAAGATGACAGGGTTTTTTTGGTTTTCTCTTTATTATTGTTCATTTCATTTTATTGAGACGTCATTCACATTCCATAACATTTTCCCTCTTCCTGACATAGTTTTAACTTTATTTGCTTTCTTTTACTTTTCCTGACTTCAAGACTGAACGTGTATGACTTTGCTGATTACAGAAAGGGGAAGCGTTAAAAAATAATCCATTGTAACAGGAGATGGGGGCAAAGTATCCTGATCTCAGGAACTTGTTGAGAAATTTTAATTTTATTAAAAAATACAAAAAATAGTTTCGCTTTTGGAAAAATCTGTGTCCCTCGGAGCCACAGGCTGCATCAGATAATAAGTGGGTGACAGATTGCAGCCCACTGGGAGCTCAGCTCTGGAAAGAGTCGCCGCCCCCCCACGTGGCACCAGTGTTTGTCCCCTCCTCGGTGCTGACTCACACTCCTATCTAGACCATCCTGACCCTAATTTCCTATTTCTCTACAGCGCCAGCTCGGCTGCCTTCTAGCAAACTCAACCTCCCTGTGCCCAGTCTTCTTATCTGTAAAGTCCACACTTGCGGCTGCTTGCCCCCTGTCTCTTCCCCGGATGTCCGGACAAGGCCCATTTACCTGAGCCCATCTAGCTCCGTTTTCAGCCGCCTCCGTTCGATGACCAGTCCCATGGTGTTGGCAAACCTCTGTGGAGAGTGGGGTACCCCAGCGGGCAGGAGGAATATCTGCAGTGGTGGAGACAAGGTGCTAGCCAGCCTGCAATGCCCTCCAGGGACCTGGGTGCCCGCAGTGTCCTGGCCTCCCCAGCCGGCCCACGGGGTCCGGCAGCCCCCCTCTCTGCTAGCCTCTAGCCCGGAAGCAGAGGAAATGTCAGGCCTTGTGAGGATGGGCAGCTCACAGGAGGAAGTGCCCAAGGGCCAGGAAGGGAGACAGGACAAGCCAGGGAGGACACACTCCAACCAAAGCCAGCATGAGTGGACCATGGGTTCCTGCTCTTTGGTCCTTCACCTTCCTATGCCCTGGGGCCCAGGCTCACCTCTCCCTGCCGAATGGTCACGGCCCGGTGTTTCCCTCGCTCCAGGACTTGGAGAACCATGTCGCCCTCTAGCTGGTAAAACACCTGTGGGACAGGAGGGCAGACAGGCTCAGCCCCTGCCCCCTCCCTCTTCCAGGTCCTTGGCCTGAGTTCTGACCCGGACACCTGAGAAATTTCCTGAAGGCCTGTATAAGCAGTTCTGTCACTCCTGCTCTGAGGCCCCAGTCTCCCCTGACATGCTACAGACCAGAGTGCTGGGGCCACAAGACGAATTGTATCAGCTCAGGCGGATGTTAAACCGAATCTGGGCTCCAAGGCCTTACAGGGGTGGGGGCGGTCCAGAGAGCCAGTGTGTATTAAGCCTCTTCTCTGCCCCCAGCTCTGTGCACACGCACACTCTATACATATTGACTCCTTCCCCCAGGCAGGGGCCAGTGTCCCCATGCGCTGCATGGAAACAGGCTCAGAGAGGTGGCATGATGTGACCTGCCTGAGACCCCACGGTAGTAAGAGGCAGAGCCTTCAGCCCAAGTCTGGCTGACTCCCAGCCCAGGTCCCCTTGCATCTGTGCACCCCAAGAGAAGGAGTCGGGTAAATGGAGTACTGTGTGGTGGGTGGTGGAGCTGGGGAACCCGAAGGGCTGTTGCAGAAGCCCGAGCTCAGCAAGGATGACTATTGGGCTCAGTGATGCCTTTTCTCTCACCAGGGAGGAACCTGGACAGCTCCTATAGCACAGCCTGGGGAAGGACAGCAGGCACAGAGAGGAGGCTGACCCTCAGCTCTGTGGCCTCCCAGGGCCTGTGGCTGGTACTCTCCCCGACCCCAGGATGAGAACAAGCTGGCACAAACCCACTTCTAGCCGAGTTCCTCCCAGCCACCTGAGTGTCCCTCCTGAGAGGGGCCGCCTACTCAGGCCAGCCCTCCTCATCCGTCAGCCACTCAGCTGAGTCACTGCTTGGCCTGGACCCCTCAGTGGACACCCATCCACACTACCAGAGCAGCTTGGGGAGGCCCAAAAGTGGGGTGTGGGGCAGAGGCGGTCGGGGCCAAGGGAAGGCAAGAGGGAGTGAGACGGGAAAGGTGGGTACTGACACCAGGGCTAACAGAGTGGAAGCCTTGGGAAGGCAAGTGGAGGGGCCTAAGGCTGCCTGAGGCAAGCAGAGAAACCCGCAACCGGTCTAGTCTACCGCACGGTGCGGTGGCCACTCCCAATCCAACCCTGTCTCCCTGTCTTCTCTCGGCAGCTTTGGCTATTCCTGTTGATTTTTGCCACAGAGGAAAACGGTCTCCCATGAGGTGTGGTGAGAAGTGGGTGGCTGGGAGACGTGAGGGGTTAGCTGGCCTGCTCTGGGAGGCTTTTCCCTGCTGGCCCGGGGTCCTCACTCCCCTGCCCGCCCCGCCCACTAGGTGCTCTGTAAATATTTGTTGAGTGAATGATTCTCCTGTGCTCCCTCCAGTCCCTGGCTGTGGCTGGGAGGCCAGGGCTGGGGGTGGAGGCTGGTGACCAAGCTGGACTCTGGACCTTGAACCCCTGTGTCAGGCCCCCCCACGGTGATGGGTGTCGGTTCCGTCTACTCTTCTTTCGTCACCAGAGATCCTGAAAGCTGGAAACCCACCTGTGTCCCTCCCTAGGAGGGCCCATCTTTTTCTTTTTAATTCTACTTTTGTTTATTTATCTTGGGGTAGGTAGGTAGTACAGAAACACAGTTCAAAATTCAAGGTACAAAAGGGTATTCGGGGCAAATTCCCCCCACCCGCCCTCCCCCTCCGTTAAACAGCCCCCAGGAACTCGTATGTCTTGGGCCCTCCAGATAAGGAGGGGACCTCCCAGCCCCAACCCTTTCCAGAGAACTCAGCTCCTAGGACCAGAGTGGAGCACCCAGGTCCCTGTCAGCATTTGGGTCTCATTTGGGAGGCCAGTCTTCCATATTCAGATTCGAGGGGGAGGGCACCAGGGCGTCGCACCTGGCACATGGATGGCCAGGGGGTGACACCCAGCGGCTCGAGCCACCCTCTCACACCCACAGAGCCTGGGCTCTTTCCTGGGGCTCCCGCAGCAGAGCTGGAGGATGGGGCTGTCACTGTGTGCCCAGCCATTCTGCCCTGGGATTTCAGTAGCGCCCCCTTCATCCATCAGCCACCTGACCACCCCCCACCCCTCCTGTCCACTGGCTCTGGCTCTTGCTTGGGAAGTGTCCCCCTCCTCCAGGGCTATTAAAGAAGGGGGCAGTAGCAGGCCTACCTCCTCACCCTCCTCGATGTGGTAGTCCTTCCTGACGTTGGGGCCCCCGACGAACATGACTTTGAGCTGCTTCTGGTGCCTGCAATGGACAAGGGGAAGGAGGTCCTGAACCAGCTTGTGGAACAGGACAGGAGGGGTGCAGGGGCCCGTGGGGGGCCTGGAAGGAGCCTGGGTACACCTGGGAGAGGTGACAAGGCTATTTCTATAACATTGTCCCTATAGTCTCTGACATTTGTCCCCTCCCTTCTCATCTCAGTATGGCTATGCTCCTCCAAGTGTGTGTGTGCGCCTGAGACTGTATGTGTACGTGCGCCTTTCTGTATCTGTGTCTCAGGGGATTTGTGTGTGTGTCCCCGACATCCTCTGACCCAGTAGTGGGGAGCAGTGTGGTGGCAGATCTACCGCTTCATCACCCAGGATCCCGGGCCTCGCTCAAGACCTCCAGTTACAGGAGAGCAAACTGTAGGCACCACTTCCTGGGCTAGAGGCAGCGGAGGGGTAAGATGGCCTTTATCTGACCGCCTCTCCCAAGCCGTCTGACTGGGAGACTCTGCTCCCTGCAAACTGCTGGCTTGAAGCTGTGAGACACCTGGGGAAGGAAGTGGAGGGGAAAGCTGGATGCAGAGCCCCTGAGGCTGGAAGCACTGGGGGTCCTGGTGGTGTGGGAGTGGGAGTGGTCTTGGGGAGCAATGGTGAGAAGGTGGAACGAGGTCACCCCAGGCTTCAGGAACTCAGCCAAGGAGTTTGGTCTTGGCCTGAAGGGTGCCAGGGAGCCTAGGAAAGTTTTTCTTTTTCTTTTAAGTTTTATTTAAGTAATCTCTGCACCCAATGTGGGGCTCGAACTCAAGACCCTGAGATCAAGAGTCACATGCTCTTCTAACTGAGCCAGTCAGGTGCCTCAAAGTTTTGTTTTTTTTTAAGATTTTATTTATTTGACAGAGAGAGACACAGCGAGAGAGGGAACACAAGCAGGGGGAATGGGAGAGGGAGAAGCGGGCTTCCTGCCGAGCAGGGAGCCCAATACGGAGCTCGACCCCAGGACCCTGGGATCATGACCTGAGCTGAAGGCAGACACTTAACGACTGAGCCACCCAGGAGCCCCAGTTTTTTTTTTTTAAATCAACTTTCCTGGGATATAATTTAGATACATATGGAATGAGCCCACTCAAGAACTATTTCCACCCATCAGCCAGATCATATCCCTCCTCTGCTCACCCCTCCCCACCGCAGTGTCATATGGCCCCCTCACCCCCAAATTCCTATGTTGAAGTCCTACCCCCAGACCTAGGAATGTGACCCAATTTGGAAATAGGGTCATTGCAGATGTAACTGGTTAAGCCACAGTGAGGTCACACTAGAGTAGGCTGAGCCCCTAATCCTTATTAAAAGGGGAAATTTAGGGGCACCTGGGTGGCCCAGTCAGTAAGCGTCTGCCTTTGGCTCAGGTCATGATCCTGGGGTCCTGGGATGGAGCCCCGCATTGGGCTCCCTGCTCAAAAGAGTCTGCTTCTCCCTGCCGCCCCCCCGCCACTCGTGTTCTCTCTCTCAAATAATAAATAAAATTCTTTTTTTAAAAAAAAGGAGGGGGGAATTTAGACACAGACACATCGATGGGGAGAGTGCCCTGTGAAGATGAGGACAGAGATCAGGGTGATGCAGCAGAAGCCAAGGGAGGCCAAGATCGCCACCAAGCCACCAGGAGCTAGGAGAGGCCTGGGGCAGACTCTCCCTGACAGCCCCAGCCAACATGGGGTGGGGGGCCGCAGCTCTGTCCCACCCTGTGGCCCATTATGCCGGCCTGCCTCCAGCCCTTGTCTGTTTGTACGTGTTGGCCGCTTCCTCTCACCCAAATGTCAGCGCCCCAAGGAAGTGACCGTCAGTTTGTTGTCTGTTGCATCTGCAGTGCCCAGAACAGTGCCTGGCACATACTGAGTGCTCAGTGAACACCTGCTGAACGAATAAAGGCAGCGCCTGCATTTTGTGATGCTTAATACTGGGGCCTGGCCGGAGGCCTGGGTGGGGGGTGCCTGGAGGCAGGGGCAGCCTGCACCACTCAGGCTGGAGGTGACAAGGGTGGCCCCAGAGCTGTGGCCAGAGGGCTGGAGAGGAGCAGAGAGATGCGAGACACTGTTGGGGCACCCTGGGGGGTGCACAGGGATGAAGTGGAGGAAAGGGGTGAGGGCCACAACAGTGGTAGAAGACACGAGGCCCCGGGGTGGGGGTGGGGGGCGGTTGGCTGTGAGCCGGTGGTGATGCTACACGGTGACCAAGAGTGTGGACTTGGGAGTCAAGCTCTTCCATGGGCTGGAGTCTGGCCCGGGGCCCATACTAGCTGTGGGACCCTGGGAGAGTCACTCATTAGAATCCCCCTCCAGGAGCTAGTGTGAGGACTAGGTGAGGGGGTGTAACAACCCTGGGCACGGCCTCTGGCGAGGTGTGCCAATGCAGCTGTGTGGTTTGGGGTGCCGGGCCGTTGGGGATGTTCTGCAGACCTGGCAATGTGAGCCAGGAGCTGGGGAGCACACCAGGCCTGGCCATGGGGCCCAGGGCAGGGGAGGGAGGTGAAGGGGCCACAGGGGAGGGCCCAGGTCTGCTGGAGAAAGACTGCTGTGGACCACCACCGGCCCTGCTGGGTGCTGTGGGCAGAGGTGGCCAGGGACGGCCTGGTGGGAGTGTGTATGCCTGCGAGGAGGAGCCTGGGGAGAGCACTACATCAAGATCTTCCTACAGGAGCTGATCCTCCACTTGCCCTCTGGCTGCAGGTTCTACTGCAATTCTGGGACATCGGAAAAACCACCCTCCCCAGACTTCTGTCACTGGGGGGTTGGAGAGCTATTTCTAAGCCCTGGGGACAGGTCGGTGACCTGCCATCTGCATCTCTCCTAGTCTCAGTCACCCAGCCATCTTCAGAAGTCAAGGTCACAATCTCCAGGGCACAGTCATCAGAAAGAGGAACAGATGAGGGTGGGGGAACCCGGAACAGCTTGCCCTCCCCATCCCCCGCCGAAGGCACAAGAGGATGGCAGCCCCTTTCTGCAGGCTCCTGGGTCAAGGAGCTGGGGGCTGGAGGGTGAGGGGTGAGGGGTGCGGACGGGGGACGGGAGGTGGGGACAGAGGGCAGGAGGAGGGCGGCGTGCCTGGGACTCACAGGAGCTTGTTGCAGACCGGGGGCAGGAAGGAGGCTCGGTTCTCCTCCAACCAGGTCTTCACCTTCACGGGACGCGCCATGGCAGCCCGGGAGCCCACTCTGGAGCCAGGTGCCCCGGCGGGTGTCCGAGGGGTGCGGCTCCGCCCAGCCGCCCACTGGCCGCCTCGCGAATCGGCGACCGGGGGGCCAAAGGGCGGGGCAATGCCCCCCGCGCCGCCCCCACGACGGTAGCCCTTGCCGGACTTTGGTCCCGGGCCCGCCCGTCCCCCGCGCCGCCCCGGGCTGCCCCCGCCCAGCCCCGCGGCCTCCGCGCGGAGGAAGCGGGGCGCCGGGTGGGGGCGCCCCTGCTTTCCGCCGGGTTCGGGCTCAGCCCCCCTCACGTGCCGGGGCTCCCCGCGAACATGCGCGGTCCCCTGTCCCCAGACTTTGCGCCTGGACCCCGCGGAGGCCCCGGAAGACAGACTACGACGGGAGGAAGGCGGGCTTGGAAATCCGAGCACGCGAGTACGGAGGTGCTGGCCCTGGACGGAAGCCTCGGTTTCTCATCTGAGAAATGGGAATGTCTACACAGCCATCCCAGGGTTGCACAGCGGCCACCATAGGCCTCCGATGGCTGTCAGTGCCCATCCGCGGACGAGGACGGTGGTCAGGCCGGAGTCCCCAGGTTTAGCGAGTGCCGCTCTCCTGGCTCAGCCTCAGGCTGGGTGAGAGCGGCGAGGGGACCGGCGAGGGGACCGGCCGCGCCACGAGGGATCCCTGGCCCTCGCCTACATTTGCAGGTGGCAGACAGAGCACCGACGAAGCGCCCGGCACTGTCTGAGCTCCTGACGTGTCTTAGGGACATACTCAAGTCACACGACACTTCGGTGAGAGTTTTACCGACGAAGAACCGGGCACTCGGTGTCCCAGCCCTCGGGAATCTCGGGGTCCTGGGGTGGGGTGGGCGGACAAACCTGTGCCCAGGCTTCCAGCCCGGTTACCCTGGGGGCGGCGGGGAGGGGGGGGCGATTGTGAAATCGGAAAACCGGGTGGGGACGAGGAGGAGGGCAAGACAACACGACACCTCTTTTCTTTTCTTCCTTCCGGACTTAGAATTTTTAGGAAAAATGTGCGTGTGTTAGAGGAGGGTGGGGTGGGGAGAAGGAAAACAGCTCAGGCTCTGACGCCGGAATCCAGACTACAGAGTTTAAGAAATTCAGCTCCTCCAGCTCCTGCCCTCCCAGCCCCCCTTGCCCCTTTCCTGCAGCCTGGGGTGGGCTGGTTTTCTCAGCACCTTCCCACACACAGACCCGCCCCCCCCCCAACCCTGCGCAAGTCAGAACCCAGTCAGAGAGGCAGAAGATTGCCACCCACCTCTGCTAGGAGGACCCTCCTGTTTCCTCTCCATCCCCATCTCTATCCCCCCTTTCGCTGGCCCTTTGTTTTCTTTGTAGTTATTATTTAGAACTTTTTTTGCTGAGCATTTCTTTCTGGAATATTGCTTGGCACCCAGAGAACTCAAACCATATTCTTTGTCTCTGTAAGTAATCCAGAGGAGAGGTAAACAGGAACTGGTGAAGCAACGAGGATCCCTGATAGATTAGGTTTGTTTTGGGTGTTTGTTACCTGGATGGATGGGTAGGTGGGTGGATAAAGGCATGAATGAATTCACAGAACAGATGTTCTGTTACATAGTACAAAGGAAAGGACAGTTACCCTGTATATTATTTTATTTTAAAGATTTTATCTATTTATTTGACAGAGAGAGACACAGCGAGAGAGGGAACACAAGCAGAGGGAGTGGGAGAGGGAGAAGCAGGCTTCCTGCGGAGCAGGGAGCCCGATGCGGAGCTCGAGCCCAGGACTCTGGGATCATGACCTGAGCCGAAGGCAGACGCTTAACGACTGAGCCACCCAGGCGCCCCGACCCTGTATTTTAATGTATGCAGTCAAATAACGTGAATCATTGAGACCACAAGTAGAATGTTCTGGGTCTGACTTATCCAAAAGAACCCTAAACACAGGCTAAATAATCTGCTGTCTGGTCACTGTCAACTCTGCTCTCTGGCTTGTACCGTTTAGATAAAAAAATCACATGTGTGCAATTGGCAGTCTTCCTGGTTTGAGTGTCGGGTACCTTTTGACTCCAGTATTCAGAAAAATGACAGTTCCCATTTTATCCCAGTGTTTTGGCATTGTCTAGTCACAGCCAGCTGGAATCCTCCTACATGTGGAGCTGTGGGCTCTTTCCAGTACCTCCTTGCAGTAGCCACCTCTGCTCTCTGCACACAGGAGCTCGTTAACACTGTGGAATCAGAGGCAAACAGCATCTGCCCTAGGATCAGAGCTCCTTAGAACCTGGTGCCTTGCTCTGGCCTCCCTTGGATGGCAGTGACTCCCTCTCCAAGTCGCTGAGTTCCGTAGATGCTTCGAGGCTTTGGTGAACCTGAATGGTGATAACTGTCAGATCCCTACCATCTCTCCATAGACAGAACCAGTTGCTTCAGCCAATCCCTTTCCCTGAGCTTCTGGGTCTGTCTTTGCCTCCCTGACTCTCCCACTTCCCCACACTTTCATGTAATTCAGCAAGTATTTAAGAACTGATAGCTTTAGATGAATAAGAGGGCTGGGTTATGAATGGTATTGGTTACTTGGAAATCTGTGCTTTGGGCCTGTTATCTCTTGACTTATTTAGAAGTCTGTTTTGAAATTTCTAGACCTATGGTTGGTTTATTTTTGTTGTTGGTCTTTTTTGCTGTTGTTTGGCTATCACTCTGTTTTTCATTTCTAATTTTATTGCACTATCGTGAGTGAAGATGCTCTGAGTATTATTTTTGGGTGGAGGGATATGTTAATATTTCCTTTGCAGCTTAGCCTGTGATCGACTTTGTGAATGTATATTCTCTTAGAATGCAGTTCTAAATGTTTCTGTTAGATCAACCTGCAGTGTCACCCAAATCATCATCATCATCATCATCATCATTATTATTATTTGAGAGAGAGAGCGACTGAGCAGGGTGGCGGGTACAGAGGGAGAGGGAGAGAGAGAATCTTAAGCAGTCTCCATGCCCAGCATGAAGCCCAAGGAAGGGCTCAGTCTCATGACCCTGAGATCATGATCTGAGCCAAAATCAAGAGTTGGTTGCTTAACCAACTGAGCCACCCAGGTGCCCCATCATTATCCTTATTTTTAAAAACAACTTAATAGGGGCGCTTGGATGGCTCAGTCATTAAGCGTCTGCCTTTGGCTCAGGTCATGGTCCCAGGGTCCTGGGATCAAGCCCCATATCGGGCTCCCTGCTCCGCAGAAAGCCTGCTTCTCCCTCTCCCACTCCCCCTGCTTGTGTTCCCTCTCTCCCTGTGTCGCTCTCTGTCAAATAAATAAATAAAATCTTTAAAAAAAAAAAACGACTTAATATTTTGGTTTCTGAGAGAAATATGTTGGAGTATCCACTGTAGTTTTTGGTCAGTTTCTCCTTATTCTTTGAGCAGATTTTACTTTACATATTTTGAATCTACATTGTTAGATGTAAAAAGCCTCGACTATTTTACCTTCTTGTAGTGATTCTTAATCAATATGAGCTATTTCTTCTTAGTTTCTTTTCACCTTGACTTCAGCTTTGTCTGACACTGATATTGCTATACCTTTGTGTGTTTGTGTATTTCCCAGGTATTGTAAGTTTATTTTTTTGTAAATATTTTATTTATTTATTTGATAGAGAGAGACAGCGAGAGAGGGAACACTAGCAGGGGGAGTGGGAGAGGGAGAAGCAGGCTTCCTGCTGAGCAGGGAGCCCTGTGCAGGGCTCGATCCCAGGACCCTGGGACCAGGACCCGAGCCAAAGGCAGATGCCTAACAACTGAGCCACCCAGGTGCCCCCCCAGGTATTGTAAATTGATCAAAAAGATGCCACGGGGCTCATGGCTGGCTCAGTCAGTAGAGCATACGACTCTTGATTTCAGGGTTGTGAGTCTGTGCCCCATGTGTAGAGATTACTTAAAAATACAATCTTAAGGGGTGCCTGGGTGGCTCAGTCGTTAAGCGTCTGCCTTTGGCTCAGGTCATGATCCCAGGGTCCTGGGATTGAGCCCCGCATCGGGCTCCCTGCTCAGCCAGGAGCCTGCTTCTCCCTCTCCCACTCCCCCTGCTTGTATTCCCTCTCTAGCTGTCTCTCTGTGTCCAATAAATAAATACATAAATAAATAAATCAATCTTAAAAAAAAAAGCCAAAATAACTC